CATTCGGAACTAAAGAGATAGACATTTGATAATTATTTTAAATAATTATAGCCTAATTTATTATATATTTTATTTATTAAGTGAAACTCGATGAATGAAAGAAGAACTGAAAGACTGAATCGAAAATTGGCGAAAAAGAGCAAGATCCAAAGTTTGGGAACTAAAGTGTAAAGACTTAAAAGTTGTGTCAGACCTCATGATGAAAATTCGAGAATGTTAAGGGTCAATTAGATACAATTAGAAGTCAAAAAAGAGTAAAATATGACCAAAATATTTTCACAAATTAGTTTTCGACTGCACAAGGATGTTCCAAATTTTTAGCTGGAGATTGAATTCCATTTTTGACCTAATAAATATTCGAATTGGAAAAGAGCTATTTCTAGTAACATTGCATCTCTTTGAGTTATTTTTATAGCATAATTTGAATCGCTTCAATCGAATATTGAGAGAGAAAGTTATGGTAAAAATATTAAAGGAGGTGCAATGCTAAATTTTTCTTGAGAGGTGGTGCCACCTGCGACGTCTTTGCAGAGTTGCAACGCCTCTACATGACGCTTAGGCACTGCCTGATGCTAACTAAGGCAAGGTTTTACCCCTTTTAAAGCCCATCAAAATTCAAAATTAAGAAATACATTAAGGGAAGTATAAATACAAGATGAGAGGCTCTTGAGAGAAGTTCCACGCATTGAGATATAAAAAACACAACTTGAGATTGAGAAGAGTGAATCAAAGGAGAAAAATATTAAGAAATCAAAGGTCTAAGGCATTGATTTGAAGAAGAAGAAGAAGATCTTGACGCAAAAATCCTCCAGTTTTTACATATTTCTTTAAAACCCGATGATGTACTCAATACAAATATCTTATTTTTATCTTATATCATGATTAGACTATATATTAATAATGTAATCCATTTGAGATCATTTACTTTTTTTTTTATTCAAGATTCTAGTTTTTTTAAAATTTTATATGTTGATTTTATTCATATATTTAATACTTTGAATTACTTGATCAATAATGCATGATTTTGTGGATCTTTTACAAATCGAGAGGTGAGTTTAAGATTTAAGCCATACAGTAACTTCGGTAATTTAGTATAACACATATTGATTTATATGAATTCCTAAAACAAATATTGAGTTTAACTAAGATTGAGCCAACTCCCTTTTCTTTTCTTTTTTTCATTGCAAAGAAGAGATCCGTTCCTCCCACTTTCAAATAAGATGAATATTACGTCGGGAGACTACAGGGACTATGGATCCTCTGACCTTTCACATAGAACAGGGGCATGCCTTTTCTCTTCAACTAGCTTGCAAGGAAAAGTAATAGCTAACTCGCAAGATCTCTAAAGATAAGTAGGCCTAGATCTGATTCACTTAATAAAAAGAAGACCATTTGGGTGAGTGTAAAGTTTACTTTTCGATAGGTGAAGAGGGAGGCTTACTGAAGGCGGACTCTTGAGATTCATAAATTGATCTCTGTATCCTACCAGTTCTAAGTCCTGCCCCATTATTTAGATACTTGCTCTTTCAGTAAGAAAAAACACAAAGAGATTTGTGATTGAATTAATTAAATAGATTCAACGAGAACTCGAAATGAGTAAATTGAATACAATAGAAAAATTCTATCGAACACTTCATTAAGTTTGTGAATCTTGAATTAAGATTTAAAGGTAATCAATAGATGAAATTGTTATGCACTTATATCTCATTCCATATGTGAATAATAAATCGATCTTTATGTACATATTGCTATTTTCAATTAGTTAGATATAGTTAGAAAAATAATCACAACTGTCATATTTGTTTTCATTCGTCAAATAGAAGTTAGAAAAAATAAATTAAGTATTAAATTATAGTACTTTTAGGAACGATAATCCGAACTCAATGGTTCACTATATTACTTGTTATGCGATAAAAAAACACAACAAAAGAAAATGAGCTTTTCAGTCCTACATCCAGTGAATTTGCCTTCAATTCATGTATGTGGAATCTTACTGTCAAAATAAGTAATAAATTGACATGAACGATATCCACATTTCATGATGTCATTTTCCTCTAGTTGCATTCTTCTTCTCATGACAAATACATGTGACAGTCTTCTTGTTTAGCCCCTGGTTGACAAATATTATATCAAAACCTTTTTATTCTACATATTCATTTTCAACCACATTTACACGATAAAATATTCTGTATGTAAACTCATATTTTTTCTTCACTTTTTAACCACACATTCTTCAAAAATTTGTTTTTGCCAAATAATGACAATCAAATATGGGCTTAATACAATATAACGACGAAATGAGATGTAACTTTCAATTTGATTGTATCCTATTTTCTCGATGGAAGGCCTTTTTTTTTTTTTTTTTTTTCCAAAAATATGGCCTTAATTTTTTTTTAATAAAAAAAAATCCCTACTTTTAGTACAAAATATGGCCTTAATTTTTTTCTAATACAAAATAATCCCTACTTTTAGTACATAGAACACGAAAGATTAAGAAACTCAACCCTCCAAAATTATTTACTATTGAAATGTCAAATGTAAAAGATCAACTTCAGCCTTAGCATCATTTTCTCTTTCTAATTCTTCATTCAAATCTTAATTTTTCCTCCTTCCAGCTCCTGAAACGGGTGTTTCAGTTCATGTGGTTTGTCTATATGCATGTATTTTTTTCCCATCTAAAGTTGGAGCACAGTGAAAATAAAGTCGTTTAAACATGAAGTGCCCTATCTTAAGGTGTGTTCAGGCTGGAAAAACTTACATTTCTCTTACCTAAGCATGTTCATTAACCAATTTAGAGATGGTAACACATGTTTAGGACTAGACATCACTCTTTTTAGATTGAGGCAATTGGATGTTCAACAAGGAAGGGGAAAGAGAAAGGAATATGTCCTAGAAGAGGACATCGAACCTAAGGGCACTGAAACTAGGGGTGGACCTACCTTAAGTCCAATGCAAGCATATGCTTGCACTGAACTTTTGTCTGCAATAAACTTTAAAATGAGACATGGAGAGAGAAGAGGGATGGACTTTAAAGGCTGCAAGAGAAGGGAGTGGAAATGCCGTTTAATGGTTTTCTCATTCTTGTCTCTCTCATTCGTATTTCAATCACACATAAACTTTTAAGTCCCTTTGAGTTTATAGTTTTAGTTAAGAAAAAATTGAATGCATATTACATACAATATATAATTTGAAGGCCTAAATTTAAAATTCGTCTTAAGCTTAGAAAGGTCAAAGTTTGACCTTAATTAAATTTCGTCCACACTGAAAAATATTCTTGGGTTCACCCTCGACAGAAACCAACTGAAACTTGATAATCCTCACTCGCTTCATTCTATGTTTGAAATGATCAGAGATTGAGAGACAAACTACTATCCTAAATGAGGTGATCATGGTGCAATGGTTAGAACGATCAAAGAAAGGATATGTTAGAAAAGAAATACTTGTTGGATCGAGAATACAAGTTCTATAATTCTTTTAATTTACTTTTAAATTTATTTTTTTAATAATTAGATCAACGGGGTTGGTCTTCATGGGCCACTGCTCGTTCATTATGGCAATCAATTGGACTAGGTTGGTTTCTATCCAAGATTTTTTCACCAATCGTACTCAACCAGGAATTAAGTATTTTAAAGATCTCGATACATAATCAAGAGTTACAAGTTTTTCTCTAAAAGATCAGATATAATTAAAATTTTAAATATTAATAATTATCCTATAAAAATTAAACTAATCCACCCCACCCACCTTCCAAAACCATAAGTATCAATTCCCCCCACTCCATCTTCTCTCTTCTCAATTTTTCTGCCTACCACCACTGCTCACGGCACCGTCCCTCTCTAATTAAACCAAAACCTTAGAGAGAGAGAGAGAAAGAGAAAATCTACAAGTTTTTCCAACGCTAGGATGAATATCGGATTTGTAATGTTGGTGTCAACGAAGCGGTCTTCCTCCTCTTCATTGGCTCCGCCAAACTTCGCGTCAATTTCGGGTAGTTTTTCGTTGGTTCGAAGGGCGTCTGAAGTAGTTATACTACGATGTTAATAAGATTAATGGTGTCAATAACCACGATTTATTGGATGATGACAAGGAGAGGGATGTTTGCTGGATTTGTCGGAACCTGGCGATGCGGATAATCTCTACGATACCCCTACACTTGCAATGGCAGCATTAAGTTCGTTCACCAAGATTGCCTGTTGTGGTGGTGAATCTGTTGGTGTGCTGTGTTGATCGGTTTGTCGTGAGGTGGTGGTAGTGAGGATGCTCTGTTGTGGTGGTGAATGTGTTAGTGTTGTGGTGTTTACAGGTTGTCATGAGGTGGTGGTGGTGGCTCTATTAGCGATGACGTTCTATTGTGGTGGTGGCGGTAATGGTGATAGTAATAGTGATATTGATGATGACTGGGTGGTCATGGATGGGATGAGATGGGATAGGTGCTCGTGATCAATTATTTGGTTGATTAAGAGTGATGATTAGTTAATTTATAATACATGACTTAAAAATTGTGATTATGACTCACAATTGATTAAGTTATGAACGAAAAATTAATTGTGACCAATTAATTTAATAATTTACAACGAATAAATAAGTTGTGATCAATAATTTAATAAGTTATGATTAAAAATTAATCCGTGATTAATTAATTAATTATATAATTGTGATTAATTAATTAGATAATTATGATCAAATTATATAGAATTGTTATATCAATATTTTTAATTAGTAAAATATATGTATAATAAATTAATTTATAATTAAAATTTTAAAATATCTAATTTTTGAGACTTGAAACTTTGTTTTTTATTTAGAAATGTGTCATGCTGAATTTTTCTCCTAAAACTAACCTCTCTGTTCATATTTACGGACCATAGACCTCACATTTTTATGGGCAGAATTGAATTTGACCATTTTCTAGCTTTGGTTGCATCGCCATCCCCAATTGTCAAAATACACAACATATACATTTTTCCCTATNGAATTGAATTTGACCATTTTCTAGCTTTGGTTGCATCGCCATCCCCAATTGTCAAAATACACAACATATACATTTTTCCCTATTCCTGCCCACGCTAAAATCTTCCACTGCCGCCGCTCCTCTTCCAAATTACTTGTCCCAAATATAAAGCTTTAATCTTGAAATATGGCTTTCTTGCTGAATCCCAGTTTTAACCCAACTCCAAAATGCTTACCTCATAACCCACAAAATATTTCGCAAAGATTTTGCCCTTGTCTCATCAATTCAACAATCTCAATGACCCATGTACACAGAAGAAGGTAATTTAATCATCCACCTGCTTTATAATATTTATCATACTTGGAATGGCAAAATTCTTTCTATTACTTCTCATTCTTATGCTTAATAAAGGTGTGATTGCTACGATTTGCACAAAGAGCTGGTTCCGTATGTAGAGGCATGGTCTTGGCAAAATTCAATTGTTCAAGAGAGAAAAACATTAAGTGAAAGGAATGAAGATTTTGCTGATTCTCTTATTGTTCTGCAACACCAGCCTGTTTATACATTGGGCTCTGGCAGTTCAGAAGAGTACTTGAAGTTTGATGTAGAGAAAGCTCCTTTGAATGTATATCGGACTGAACGTGGTGGAGAAGTTACATATCATGGCCCTGGTCAGGTACACGAATCTTTCTTGGCCAATCCCTTTGGTTCATTGATTCGATAGATATAATCATGTTATTAGATTTGACAAAGTTTCTTTACTTAGACGATTGACCGACCTAGCAAATATATGAATGGTGTTTGAATTCATTACAGGTAATCTGGTATTAGGATTACGGTTTTTGTTTCTAAGTTTTTGGGCAGCAATGATGCATCGTGTCATAGTGCATGCAAATTATGTATTTGAATCTCTCAACTTGCAAATTGACTTCTGAAAGAATCTAGGAATTTTAGATTCAAGAAATGATCAAATATCTTTTAGCTCATCGATAAGCACATGCAAATTTTGTGGTAAACAGTAGATGCGATAGCTAAAGATTCTTGCAATATCAGAATTTGAATTTTAGGAAAAGTTGTTATACAAAATTCAGTATACAGAATATGCTTGTGAATCATATTTCTTATCTTACCTTCGTTTTGGGTTTTTTAAGACTACACCAATGAAAATTTATGTTATATAACATGGGGGTGTTTTGAGTTTCTGATTTGCTATGTATGTTTATGTAATGTAGCTTGTTATGTACCCTATTATCAATCTCCGATATCACAAGATGGATCTCCATTGGTATCTCAGGGCACTTGAAGAGGTGGTTATCCGTGTTCTCTCCTCAACATTTGCTATTAAAGCTTCACGAATCGAGGGCTTGACTGGTGTTTGGGTTGGTATGTTCATAATTTTTCACTGTTTTGTAGGTCCGTATGAGTAAGTAGACAAGTTTTAGAATAAATGCACTTTTATTGGTTAAAATTGGAAACGTGTTACTTATTTTGATAGTAAGACAAGAATCAAGTTACTTTAATTAAAAAGCAACATATCAAATATGTTTGAAGACAAAAAGTACTTCAAAGTAACTTTTACAATTTTTAAGCTTAGTAATTTTACATACAGAACAAAATGCAATTATGCATATGTGAAGTTGATTTTCTCCAGTCTTCCGATGTTCTCAGCCTGGAGATTTATACCATCCTAACATATCGAATTCCTTCAGGAGACCAAAAATTAGCAGCCATTGGTATAAGAGTATCACGATGGATAACATATCATGGCTTGGCATTGAACGTCAACCCAGATTTGTCACCCTTTCAAAAGATAGTTCCGTGTGGGATTCGAGATCGTCGAGTTGGGAGCATAAAGGAGCTGCTAAGATTAACTTTCCCATCTAACAGTTGCAGTCTAGAGAATAATAATCACGTCAATGATTATGAGTTGATTGAGATTACACATGAATCATTGATTAGGGAGTTCTGTGAAGTTTTTCAAGCTGAACTGCAGTATAAACATACTCTTCGTGGCATTTCTGAAGGACAAAATCGTGATCTATCTTACTGGAAATCAAAAGCAAAAGATCCACATCGAATTTACAAAGCGTGAATTGCTAAACACGGGTTCATAAGAGTAACGCAATCTCAAGAGAAAACGTAAGAACAAGGAGTCTACCAAAACTAATGAAGCCTGTTGTAGTTGTAAATCTATTTGCTTTTGATCTTTCTGTAGGTCTAGTTCTTATTCATGATGTATCTTACTTATGAAATTGAAATATGAATGAATTTATGTTGCTGTCTTGCAATTCTTGATGATCTCTTTGTTCTACATATTAGTAATTACCTCCTATTTGATTTGAACTCGTTCTATATGCATATAATTAATTTAACAGTATATTTATCTTGTTTCAGCCCAGTTTCTGCTTAACTTCTTGATGGCCAGAGCTGAGAAGCTTTGCAGAATTTTCTTATGAAAACTGTTGCACAAGTTCAATATATAGTAAATTTCAGATCAGTTGCCCTGATTATTTTATTAATGCACTAGTCAATGCTTTCGGTATATTTTGGTGGATGAATCTGTTTCTGTTTTTCTGATGTTACCAAATGACTTTACGAAAATTAGTGTGGTAACAAAACTGTAAATCATTTTTCTGCTCTAGTTTATGTTTAAAGGCTTGATTACCCTTCCTTTTGGGGAAAGTGACTATGTTTTCTGGTGTTCTTGAGAAGTTAGATGAGTTGGAGAAAAATGGATTTTTATTTTCAGGGCTGGAGCATCTTGGTTATCAGATGCTAGGCAGCATGGATATGAAATCTGTGGAAGCCAAAGAAACAATTAATGTATACATCATGAACTTCTGGTAAAATTTATTGTCGTCATCTTGAGCAAATCAGTGCAGATGTAATATAAACTCGGTGACAGTAGAAGAGTCGGACTGGTTTTCGAACAGATGGTGCAAAAGAATAAGAGTTTGGATTCTTGGAATGTGACAGTCTAAAATGACAAGTGATCTTGATGGTCATCGAAAGTGAGGGTTGATGAAAAAAGAAATCTGTCTCGTGTGTGTGTGTGTATATATATATATATATAGTCTTTTCATCTCACTAATTTTAAAGTTTAAGGTGATATGGTTCAACATTTAGTCCATGCAATAATTAGAGAGTGTTAAGTACACCATCTTGAACATGACTAGAAATGATTAAGAAAGACAAATAGGTCTTAAAATTAATAAATTATTGTGTTTAGTGTGTTTAATTAAGCACATGAAATGTGCCTTCAAAGTCACACAAGAAGTTTTAGGGAATGTACAAGGCATTGATGAAAACAAGAATTTCTAACATGGAATAAAATCCATTTCAATGAGAACCATAGATGTGCTAGTGTTAGAAAATAATATAAAGACGTGTAGTGGCGGATCTAGAATTTTGACTGAGCATGGGCACGTTAACCATTGACCATCGACCATAATAAAATATTAAAAATTAAACATAATAATCATTTTGCTAAAAATAGAAGATATAAAATTTTGTTATTCATGGTTACGATTTTCACCAAATGACATAGTGGTAAGGTTTGTATAATTTAAATGAAGAAGCACGGTTCAAATCCTTTCAATTGCATTAAAACCATTGAAATAAAAAATATATTATTATGTTACATTTAGCATCGAACTTCTACATGTGTCATGATGGTTAAGTTTTCAATAACCTTAATGACAGGTCATAGGTTTGATTTCCTTTCTATAGCATTAGTTTTGGTAAAAATTGAAAAAGTAGAAAAAATGTGCAATAAAACTGGTTAGGAAGAGATTCAATCCCTAGACCTCCAATCTATAAGTAGAGGCTCCAACCAACTAAGCTACAAAAAAACTTAGAAATAAAATGAATTACCAGTTATATAATAAGACCTCTATCTACTACTGTCAGCCAAAAAAAAAATAAAAGAAATTGTCCTAGCGAGTCCAACACGCATGGCCGCCAGTGCTCGCTGAGTGTTGAATCCACCATTGGACATGTCAATATACAATATTGAATAGGATTGTATTAGTATTATGGAATATCAATGCTCTTGAAAATGATGGCAAGAATCAAAGACGAGAAAAAACTAAGATATGGGAAGTTTTTCTTATTCAAACTTTCTTGATGTCCTTTAGAAACCCTTTTGTACAATCAGCATGCATCCATGCATTTAATAACTCATATAAAATAGTGGGATTAGAGTTACACGGAATAACATGGCAGTATGTAAAGGTTGAACCCCAACCTTGAGGACCCCTACCATCCCACCCCAGAGTTTTGTGAGGGAGGTAAATCGCGGGATGTGTTTCCGTAGGTTAGGGAACAAGAGCTGTTTGTACACTGCGCCTACAAGGAGTCCAATTCCATGTCTCAGGAATTGAAGCCCTACATTGCGGCTGTCAGCAAGGAGTGATGTGCCCCAACAGGTCAGAGAACAAGAACTACATATACAATGCGCCTACAAGAAGTCCAATTCCATGTCTCAGGAATCGAATCCCCATACTGTGGCTGCCAACATTGCAGTATATAAGCTTTACAAATTGTTACAAAGGGCTTCTAACACTATGCACGTCCGTGAGTAACTTAGTTTAACCTTAGGAATCTCACTTAAATTGATCAGCAATAAAGTTTGTTAGGAAAATATGTAAGTGGCAAATCTGTGACCAAGGACCAAATTGTCAAAATTGTAAAGTCAAGGACCAAATTGTCAATGTCCAATAGTTCAGGGACTAGAGTTGCAATTAACTAAAGTTTATAGGCTAGGTCTAGGGTTGTGTGGGATGCCTCGAAGATGCAAGCGGCGCTTTGATTTCGCTAGAGTCTCGCCCTGACCTCGCTCGAGCCACAATTGCAGAACCAACTTCGCTGGACT